TGCGTTTTTGCGTTTGTCTTTTTTATTGTTTGACATTTTCTTGTATTTTCTCAGTTTTTGGGAATTTCTCTTTCGTTCACTTTGTCCTTTTTTGGAAATTTTCTTGAATTTTAGTTTTTCCTTCGGAATTTTCTTCATCTGCTCTTTCTCGGAAGCTTTATTTTTTCTTCGTCTCTTCCCGAGTGTTTTCTTGATTGTGTTTCCTTGTTTTCTGACAGTCTTTCTCTCTTTATTTTGTTTCTTCCCACGTCTCGCTTTGAGCTTCCTTTCTTCATCTCCTTTCTCAGTCTTTACCTTTCTTCTTCTTCCCGATTTTAAGACCTTTTTTGTCTTGATGTTCAGCGGTGTTTTGCCTGACAAGAAAAACAACACTAAAATGACAACTGTAATATTAATATTGTAGGACATATAAATTAGCCAAACACGCAACACATCCACAGTTAGTGAAGGACATTGTTAACACGTTAAATACAATAGTGATTAACGATTGTAACATTACACAAGCTATAAGCATTACACAGGTTACACGTTTTACAAAGGCTACAAATATACAGGATGTAAGTGTTTCACAGGCTACAAGTATTACACAGGCTACAAATGTACAGGCTACAGGTATTACACAGGTTACAACATAAAGTGTACTGGGTGTCAGTGGTACAATATCGCCAAGCTGCACCGATCAAGACATTTATTAAGGAAAAAGTGTTTAGCCACTTGTGGAGCGAAACGTTTGCGTAATCAGTGCATACGTGTATTTTACGTGTACAGGGTGTTGTACAGGTCGATTTACCAAAAATGAAATTAATTTCAAGAGGAATAATTGTTGCAAAATCATTGCAGCCAAATATAAGATTATTGTCGCTAGGATATAAAAGTAACGCGGTGAAGGTAGAACAACAATCTATAATTCTATGTGTATCCTCAGCTCTGTAATTAAAACAGTTTTGAAGGCATCTTCCTCGTACTCAAACTTCTGTGACGTCAACATCGTCTGTACCGAATATTTAGGCAAAAATCTGCCGGTTAATGTTTTTATGTGAGTGGAGAATGTCATCACTGGGTCGTATTATATGTACTGTTTCGTATTATTATAAGGATTTTTATGATTAAAAAAGTCGATGCCAGAGCTGTCCCTCACAGCATACGTGAAGTTATTTTGTTAGGTTTAGGGCATATATTATATATTATATAGACGGTACTTTGTCAGTCAGGGTTATTATACTAAAATTAAGAATAAAATGATTTCTCATTCCATGTTTACCGTTGTAACTTGCTCAGCTATCATAACTTTGGGGTCCAGCTCCTGGACCAATTATGTACCTCTGTAATCTTTTGACTACCGCCCACAGGATGGGTATGAGGTGCATAATAAACATATTAAATATATTAAACTAAACTCATTGCATATACATTAAGAGATTAACTTCTTGTATATGTCGTTCTGTTTTGTCAGAGAAGTTCAACAAGCAGTGTCCGTAGTTTAAAAAAAAAAGTTTATTTTATATATGATAACTGTGGAAAATAATTTCCCAAAATTATGCTGTGTAAATAAACCTGATTAAAAGTGTATTTTAGAGAATGGAGTCGACAGGGAGGCTCTGCGCCTGCGCTGACCAGCAGGGGGAGTCGCCATTGTTTTTTGAGTGTGTTACAAGCACGTTAATGTAAGGTGTATAATTTTCTTCGCTCTAGGGGTTATATTGGGCTTAAAACCTCTCAAATAGGAGCCGAAATTGTTGGATGTGCAGTCCTGCAAAAATTGAGCATTAAACAGATGTACAAGACAGCTCCAGGAACCTCAGATAAGCTATCTAAATTTGTTTGTAATTCTGGCCAGTATAGCTGTATAGTCCTTGTGGCTTAGCGCTTCTTTTTGATTATAATAATAATAATCTGGCCAGTATTATCATCATAAATTTAGTTAGAGGGGGGCTCTGTACATAATATACAGTAATCTCCAGACTAATTGGTGAGTGTTATGATTATAAATTCTCCTTCTGTTATATAAATGTGTATATGTAATCATTTATTAATTTTAATATACAGTCCACAAATTTATATTAAATTTTACCAGAATTCCTGGTGATGTACATTTCATTTGCAAATAATATAAGGTCTAGAGCAACTTGTGGAGAGATAGATTATGGTAGGTATCGAAGGGAACATTTTTTGCGGCCTGAGATGTCCATAAAATTCCTACTTGTCTCTGTAACTTTGATAATAATTACCTATCTTGTTACCATTTACTGGATTGAATCTTATGAGTTACAATCCAGGTAAATTTTAATTTCCCACAATAACTATATTAAGTGTGAAGGCTACACATGTTATTAAATAATTTTTCAAACCAAAATGAGCTGAATTTTATGTAATATATATTCAATATTGTTTACCCAGCGTAAAATATAATCTAAGGTCGCCTAAATTGAAAGTTTTCGTAATGTTTAGTTTTTTTTTTTTTTTTTGAGTCAAATATAGGGTAAATCATGCGTGCGCTTATTAGTTAGGAAAATGATCGAGAGGTTCCCAATAGGTGACTGCCGACAACAGTGACAACAGGTGGTAACTATCAGTGTATAACACTGTTTAATATTACACTGTATTGTGATATTCTTCTCTGGTGGTTTTTAGAATACCTTTATCATAATGACTATCTCGTCGATAGACTTAATAAAGCCTAATAAAACCATTGTTGGCCACTCCCGCTATTTTTATTACATATAAACTGCATGCCTGTTAACCAGACATAATACCTTTTTCTTAAAAGTAAACTTGTCTGAACTGAGCTATCATGAGTATTCCCCTTATTTACACTTAACCAGTGAGACAGCAGATGGTTCTGTCAATCACAGGTTATAGATGTACACTTACAGTGAGACAGCTAGATGTTCTGTCATCACAGTTAATAATGTACACTACCTGTGAGACAGCAGATGTTTTAGTTCATCACAGATTTATACTGTACACTTACATGTGAGACAGCATGATGTTCTGGTCACACAGTTATAAATGTAACACTTACCTGTTGAGACAGCAGATGTATTGACATCACAGTTATAATTTACACTACCAGTAGAACAGCAGATGGTTCTGTCATCACAGTTATAATGTACACTTACCTGTGAGACAGCAGATGGTTCTGTCATCACAGTTATAATGTACACTTACCTGTGAGACAGCAGATGTTCTGTCATCACAGTTATAATGTACACTTACCTGTGAGACAGCAGATGTTTTGTCATCACAGTTATAATGTACACTTACCTGTGAGACAGCAGATGTTTCTGTCATCACAGTTATAATGTACACTTACCTGTGAGACAGCAGATGGGTTCAGGTCATCATCCTGTTATAAATTACACGTTACCTGTTGAGCACGCAATGTCTGTGTCATCACAGTTATAATGTACACTTACCTGTGAGACAGCAGATGTTCTGTCATCACAGTTATAATGTACACTTACCTGTGAGACAGCAGATGGTTCTGTCATCACAGTTATAATGTACACTTACCTGTGAGACAGCAGATGGTTCTGTCATCACACTTGTAATCACTCAAGACTTCGAGGCACTTGCTGACACCTTTCTTGTGGCACTCACCTCCAGCAGTCTTGCAGTCAGTGCCAACGTCACCCTGTTAAAAAAAAAAAACTGTATTACAGTAATACGAAGTTCGTAATTACAAGTAAACTATTAAACTTGTTTCTTGTATATCGGTGAGCAGGTTGATGATACGAGTATTATGCTGGTGATGGGTATGGAGTTTTCTTACAAAAGTTCCTAAATGTGGAACTTATAAATGAATAATAAAATAATTATGTAATAAAATATGATGCTGAGTTTCGAGAAATTTCGAGTTAGGGGGTGTAGAAGAGCTGCGGAGTGATGCCGGGGGGAGACGCCATATTAAATTTAATGTGTGAACACTGCTCCTTTAATTGTGCAATGTAATCGGGCGTCATCGAAATTCATTGGGTGTATATAGGCCTCAATCCGTAATTTAGAAATTCCTGACACATTCGCACTGAAGAATTGAGATAAACAGTGTGGAAAACCTTTACAATTCGGCAACAAGAACGAAAAAATAAAGGACACCAATTCTCCCGGGAGCACAGCTTAGCTAAGTGACGCTCACCCATGTCAGCATAGTTGCTGAAGAGCCCACCTGCCTGTTCAGCCCTATACAAGTATGGTATGTAGAGACGACATACGAAACATGACCAGAGCTATCACATAAGTTGCTGAGCCCCCTGTATATGTATATATCTGAGTAACATAGTACCGATCCAAAAAGTTTTAACAAAGTTGAACTGCACCCTAGTTATGCACAGTACTCTAGCACGATATGACGTCACACGTGATGTCCGCATGTGCTCGAGCAGACACGAAGCTTCTCTCTATGCACTCCACGCTTAGGTTCTACAATAATTCAACACGGAGCATGGCTGGGCACCTCCCTCCACACTGCTAATATAATTGTACCATCCATCACGTGTGTTTAACGTCCAACCATCATATCACCACAACTTCTCAACATTAATGTACAGTAGCTATGTTTTGGCCATCATAAATTCAATTCTGCAGAAGTGTAGAGTATAGTAGTGATTCCAAAAAAAATAATAAGGATCCAATAATTAAATGGTAAGTGGTAATATAGAAATTTCTCGCTTTCTAATAACAACTATATAATTTAAGTACAATAATTATATAGTGTACCAAGCAAGCCTAATCAATATACAGTCCTCAAACTTTTAATTTACCAGAGTAGCTGGTTTTAATATTGTAATAGTTAATCTATGTCATGTCTATCTTTTTCGAGTGTGATGCAAGTGGGCATCGAGGGAGTGGACAGCTCCTGTGACCTACTGTGACTAAGTCCCACTTACATTTACTTGCACGTAATACTTCATAAATACCCTGTAAACCTCGGCAGGTTAATCTTGCTCACATATTAATAATAATTCAGTAAAAAGTGCTCTTGATTCATGGACTTTCTGAGATACCCATTCTCCGGGGGATCCATCGGATACACAATTTGATAACCTTCCATTTCCTAGGCCCCCGCTGTAGACTCTCAGTAGTCTAGCGCTATTCATGAATATATTTATAGTATGTGTGGATGCATACAAGGATAAACCTTACACTTATGTGGTATAAACATTACCACTTCTTAAAGAATGCAGTGACACAAACACCCTCTTCAAAATCTCGTTTATTACTGCAAAAAAAAAAAACAAAAGAAATTAAGATGGGCGCAGGGTAGTTAGTTTTGAAACAAGGAAAGCATAAGTTATATACTGTGTATTTCAACCTCGTACGTAAGACATGTCAGTTTAAAAAAGTCAGACTAAAAAGTCAGGCTAAATGATAATCTAAAAGTCAGAAAATCATTAATTAATCCTTATACAGTACAAACCGACAAAATGTATAAATCTATTTGCAAACATCACCAGTTTCTTAACTATAAAGATCCCGATGTTCACCTGTGTCCTTATCATCAATCTAAAGACCAGGTTAAGAATTGGAGCATAGCAAGGGCTGGTTATATTACAGGTTTCCTGAACTTTGCAAGATGTTGAAGTTGTAATGTAATCATAGTAGACTTCGTTTGATTTTGCGCTCAAACATGCAATTGATTCTATATATAATGGAAAAAACTACGCAGTTAATGTTAGCGTTATGATTCCTAACATGCTGGAAAACTCCACAACTGCCTTGTGGATACTCAACACATTTCTAATAATTAATCTAAGGATTACTCTGGATAATACATCTTCTATAGCGTTATTTAACAGGGTGACACTAACACTGGTAGAGCAGTAAACAAGCTTCACTGTAGCGAATTTGAATCTCAAATGGATAGATGAAAATGAAGATATTGAAATAATTAAAGTAGAAATAAAGAAATTACTACTAGATGTTTAAAAGGCAAAAACCGCAGGACAAAACCAGACAGCATCTTTGGTTTTATAAATATGAGAATAAAAGCTAAGTTGCTCTAATTTTCTGGAAATGAGTGAGCTACTCAAGTCCCAATATGACTCAGTTTTTAACATTCCGCCTAACCCCAGACGAGAGTCGAAGATCAAAATAATTTTTATGAGAGAGCCACATAATATGTTTTAAACACAACCTATCTGATGTTTCCTGACGCAATACTTCGAACAAGCATAAATGACATTGCCCATGCACTCTGCGCCCCAGGCCAGACTCATTGAACATTCCGTGTTCATCAAGAACATGCAAGAAGCCCCATCACGAGCTTTTAACCATTCCTATGGAGAGAAGCATGGACACGACACGGGGTCGTCCCACAGTTACTAAAAACAAACAGACATAGCCGCCCCACTTGAGCCCCACTCCACAAAGGGGGCATAAAAAGCAATAATCAAAGAACTACAGACCGATAGCACTAACATCCCATATCATAAAAATCTTTGAGAGGGACCTAAGAAGCAAGATCCCGATAGCCACCCATCTACGCAACCCATCCAGTTACAACAACCCAGGGCAACATGGTTTAGAACATGTCGCACCTGTCTGTCTCACTACTGAAACACTACGACAAGGTCCTAGATGCACTAGAAAGACAAAAAAAAGAAATGAAATGAATTTTAATGTAGAAAATGGCACTAATAAAACGGGAGAAAGTGATTATGTGTCCACACAATAATCTGGTTGGTAACAATATTGAAAGTATCAGAAAGAGAGAGGGGCCTAAAGAGCTAATATAAAAATAATTATCACTCAAGCACAAATACACCAATCTGAGAAACTCATACCTGATACTGCAAAAAACTATAAAAGTTAAATAAAGGCGTTTACAACTTATAAAGGTAAAATATTGGAATATTCAGGCAGCTATTGCCGTCTGAATATTCTCCACCCTCCTGACCCTGTCTCCCCCTTCCAGACCCTCACTCCCACCCTCCAGACCCTGTGCCACCTTCCAGACCCTGTGCCACCTCCAGACCCTGTCCCACCTTCCAACCTCTCCCATCCCTCCAGATACCCTGTGGCCACCTTCCCTACCCTGTCCACCTTCCATACCCTGTCCCACCATCCATACCCTCTCACCCCATCCTCCAGACCTGTGGGCCATCTCCCTCCAGACCCTGTCCCACCTCCTAGATCCTCTTCCGATCCTTCCCGCACCCACCTTCCAAACCCTGACCCACCTCCAGACCCTGTCCAACCTTCCAGACCCTGTCCCAACCTTCCAGACCCTTTCCCACCTTCCAGGACCCTGCCTCATCTTTCCAGACCCATGTCCCACCTTTCCAGACCCTAGCCTCACCTTCCCAAGAACCCTGCCTCAACCTTCCAGACCCTTCCCACCTTCCAGACCCTATCCACAAAGGTCTCATCTACCTCTACAGACCTGACTTTCCCGACCTGTCTCACATAGATCCTCACACTACCTCTCAGACCTTCCACACCGAACCCTTGTCCCTCATATACGCTCCACCTTTCAGACCCTCTCCCCACCCTTCCTGAGTTTACCAAAATATGAGTTTTTTTTTTCTTTTTTTTTTTTTTTTTTTTTTTTTTTTTTTTTAAATGAAACAAGCACCAACACACTAAAGATGCTCACATTGGTTGATACGAGAAAAAGAAAGAGGAGACATATTCCACCTCTAAGGTCATAAAAGGATTATGAGAGAATAAGGAAAGATGTCTAGTACCTTCCAACAAGAGCCATAGTTGAATTGAGGAAAAAAATGGATCGAAGAGGACACTTTTTTTTTTTTTTTTTTTTTTTTTTTTATTCGCCGGTAACTCTCCCGGCCAGGTCTTTTTACCAGGTAGTGGTGACTCGGCCTTGGGCTCCCCTATCTGGGGAAGTGTCTCGAGACACTAAGTCTCCCATGGAGGAGGTTACAAGACCCACCGCCCTCATCTTTGGACCAAATGTCCCCAGGGCCTAGCCACGAGTCCCCCGCCCTCACGGGCTCGAAGGGAGAAGTGCCGAAGAGATAACTAAATTTTACTTCGTAAGCGTGTGGGTTAATATAAATGGAATTAAGAGTATGTAATAAGTGCTACCACTGGAATGTGAAAAAAATGATGAATTATTAGAGCGGGACTCCACGAGTACATCACTGTTCCTCTGTTATGACTCGAAATCGTAATACGTCAAAAGACTCACTCTCGCTATATGTTCAAGTCCTACCCGCTCCGTGGTCTGTTCCTCTAGTTATAAGTAAGAAATTCTGCACACAAACCTTGGCCTGGACGACAGTGATGGCCACACATGCCACCAACAATATCAGTTTCATGTTGTCAGGTAGAAGCCACAATGTGCGCCCTTCGTTGTCCTCTACTCCTGCTTATTGTCTGACGTCCCCGAGCTGACTGCTCTGCGTCTATACCCCATCAGTCTTACCTTCCTTATATATGTAGTAGAACATCTGTACCGCCCACCCAGAACAGAGGGGATGTATGGAAACGGATGAAATCACCTCTACATATCACAAACACAAAGAGTTATGACGGTCCACCCACGTCACGTCAGCAAACTTTTTTAGTTATTATAGTTTACAACAAACTAAGAGCTAAACCCACAAGGGTCATACAGCTTCAACTTTGTTAGTACACGCCCATTCACTTTCTCAAAGAAAAAAAAATCAATTGTGTCAACATCTAATGTTTTGACAAAATGTTTCGCAAAGCTCTATTCCACAATTTCTTATTTTAAACCCAAATTTAGAAGCCTAATGGAGGTCATAGAAACCCATATCACACACAGGAAGTAAATATATTTTTTTATTTTCTGTGATGAAATTAGTTTTGTTTTCGAGTGTGTCAGCAGCACTACGCTGCTACTGACGCTCTCTTTTTGTGCTCCCTTTCAGTCGTATTTTTCCCCGTAAGTTTTGTGCTTTGCTACTCAACTCATTTTTGGGGGGGGGGGGGGCGGGGCAAATTCGTATTTTCAACCAAGAAATATATCTGTCTGGAGAGGCAAAAGCATTGCTCTTAGAATTTTGTTCTGTAGACTCAATTTCTTCTTCTTCAGGATACATGCAGTTTATCTTAACATTTCTTCAGATCTCAAGATTTGTAGTGTGTTGTCACTCTTATTGTGTTTGTTCATTGATATTTGTTCCTAAAAAGTTTTCAGTTTGTGGGTAATTAGCGCTTCAAACATTGAAAATTGTAAAGAAAAAATATATAATGATTTTTTTTTTGAAGTCAGGACAGCCAAGAGCACAGATCTGCTCCTGTAGTTACAAATACAACTAAATAATTACTTACAACTTAGTTCCTGGGGTCGGGAAAACAAGTAAATTTACAGAATGTATAGACTGACAAAGAGCAGAGAAAAATTGACCACAAAACAATAGAAAAATATTTTATTAAATCTACATTTTGACCTGATAGAGCAGTATTTTACCCGAACTTTGTCTAATAAAAAAAAGCTCACCTCTTTCTAATAATGTAAATAGTTGTAATTATAACCATAAGTTTTTAAAGGGATGCCCATAAGCCAGCGAAGGCCTCGGTCAAGATGACCACAAACTCTAGTGGCCTGGTCAGAAACAGTTGTCCCAGTTCTCCCTGACATACCTTACCTGACCTAATCCAGTCTTCTTTTGGAGCAATACACATGATTGGTGAGCATTAAACATAGTAGACTAAGCAGTGAAACTTGCTAGTAAGAGTCAACCTCTATATTATTGAGCTTCATCTATACTAGTGGAGAATGAATGAGAGGGGTTAGTGTGGTTGGAAAAAAGTGGGAGGGTGGTTAGAGAAGGAATGAGAGGGGTTAGGGTGGTGCGAAAAAAAGTGGGAGGGGTTAGAGAAGTAAAAAGAGTGGGGTAAGGTGGTGAGAACGAATGAGAGGGGAGTTAGAGTTGTGGGAAATGATAAGTTCAGAACACATGAGCAACAGTTGGTATCTTTAATTGCTGCAACGTTAAATGAAAAGTCTACTGTGTAGGCGAAAAGTTTCAACCATAAAGACCCCCAACTCATCATCATTATGAAAGTGAGTGTAAGGCTGTTGAACAAGGTAGTTGTGGTGTCCTTAGTTGTGTTGATAACTATAGTTGTGTTGATAGCTATAGTGAACAACATGCTGAGGGCAGTGGTGTCCGTGATGTTAGTAATAGTGATGAGTGTAATATAAGTGGTGGTGCCGAGTGTGATGAGATTAACCACAATGACATTAATGTTGAATACAATATTGATGATAAATGTAATGAACACAATGTGGTGTTGGTGATGACAGTTATAGTGATGCTTGTAATGTTAGTGGAGGAGGGAATGTGAGTGGTGGTGCCACCTATCATACATTCACACATGAGCAGCGTCGTGCTCTGTGTAAACAAAGACTCCCACGAGGCCTTACAACTGGAAGTGCACTTAAAAAACTCATGGACCAGGGTAACACTGCTGACATTGATAACCTCTGCTATTTATATGAACAATTTTTTCATTATGCTGAGAAACTCAACAATATCCCAGGACTACTATAATGGATCAAAACTCGTATAAACTTTCTATATTAAGCTGGAATATTGCATCACTTAGAAAAAGACTTCCTGACCTTCATCATAAAGTAACCACTGAACCCATTGATGTTGTGTGTCTACAAGAGTGCAGAGTCCCTGAAAAATCCCAACCCACTAAATTGCCATCATTTGTTGCATATAACCTCAAATCTACTAACTGTTGTGTTCTATATATTAAAAAATTACTTCCCCATCAACTTCTTGCACATAAGACAACAGAGGGGCTACAGTATCACGGTGTTAGAATTTATATTGGGAACTCTGCTCTCAACATATTTAACTTGTATGCTCCTGCTAAAAAGTTTAATTACTTGGAGCTCCCAACTTGTGCTCATTCTGAACCTACTCTTATTATTGGCGATTATAATGCAAGACACAAAAGCATTGGAAACTCACAGTTTGGTAATCGTAATGGTAATCAACTGTTGTCACTCTTAAACATTCATGATAATGTGCAAATTGTAGGTGACCTTGAACCAACACATATCTATGGAGGCGTCCTTGATCTGTGTCTGGGCTTCAACATTACTTCTGCCAGCTGTGAGTCTTCCATTGTAACAGATATAGCGTCCGATCATTTCCCAAGGATAACCTCACTAGATATTTGTAATACTAACCTTCCGGGTGGAATATTCAAACGGAAACAGTTTTAATGTTCCCCCTGATCAGCATGATGACTTTGTTGGTAGATAAGACACATAGGCAACATTTAGGCAACTTTATTTCGAAACGTTTCGCCTACACAGTAGGCTTCTTCAGTCGAGTACAAAAATTAGGCAGGAGCAGTAGAGATGTGAAGACGATGTAATCAGTCCATCACCCTTGAAGTCGTAGATTTGAGGTTGTCAGTCCCTCAGCCTGGAGAAGTTCTGTTCCAAAGTCTGGAACTAACTGTTAGTTCCAGACTTTGGAACAGAACTTCTCCAGGCTGAGGGACTGAAAACCTCAAATCTACGACTTCAAGGGTGATGGACTGATTACATCGTCTTCACATCTCTACTGCTCCTGCTTAATTTCTGTACTTGACTGAAGAAGCCTGCTGTGTAGGCGAAACGTTTCGAAATAAAGTTGCCTAAATGTTGCCTATGTGTCTTATCTACCAACCTGTCGGTATTATATACCATTTGATAATGATGACTTTGTTGCACATGTGACTGACTGGTATAATTCCTATGAGTGTACCTCTGTTGAGACCTTTAACAATGACCTTGTGAGCAGTATTCAGAACTACTTAGAACCGCCACTGAAACTTCATGGTAATGTAAGCCCATTTAACTTCCATAATAATCATACCTCCTATAAAAACCATACCTATTACAATGATACTAAACTTCGAACACTGAAACGTACTGCTCGCAGACTAGACCAGGCCTATAGAAACCATCGTACCCCTGGAATGCTGAGGCTCTTTCAAACTGCCCTTGTTGCTGCCAGAGAGCGTGCGATAGAGCTGCGGCAAACAGACTGGGAACAATTTGTCAATGGTCTAAATGCTCACACCCCACTTAGCCGGGCATGGAGGGACATAAATAGAATTAAGGGTAACAGAACTGGGCAGATCGCGCACCCTCATCCCTTACATAGGGCGAATGAGTTAGTCAGTGCTTGGGCTGCTACATCTAGCTATGACAATCTTCCCAGTACCACACAGGCAAAATTAAATGAAAAATATGATGCAAGGGAGAGACTTGTTTGCTTTATGCTCAGCAAGGAAGATGACTGCAACTTTCCTTTCACTGATTATGAACTCAATGCAGCACTAAGGGCAACTCCACGTCGCCTGGTGAGGATGGTATTACTTACAACATGCTCAGCTTGCTGTGTTTTGTACCAGGTAATCCATTACTTGAATTATATAACATGAGCTATGTAACTGTGGAGCTCCCTCAATCTTGGACCAACAGCCTCATCATTCCAATTCCTAAGCCCAATCAACAAAATGCATTTCGCCCAATATCTCTTATTAGCTGCTTGTGTAAAACATTCGAGAGGATGATTCTTAATCGTCTCATGTACAGAATCAAACAATTTTTGTCTCCCCAGTTGCATGGTTTCATGCATGGAAGGAGCGTGCATCATTGCATAGCCACCTTTCTCGCCATGCACACTGATAGCTCATACACCACCTTTCTTGACCTTAAATCTGCTATTGATGTAGCCAACCGACATGTAATCATTAGTGAACTTGCCAGAATGGATGTTGGAGGATGGCTTCTCCGCTGGATTAAAGGCTACCTGTCCAACAGAAAGTCGTCTGTGTTGTTCCAGGGACATAGAAGTGTAACTAAAGACTTTGAATTAGGAACCCCACAGGGAGGTGTGTTCAGTCCCACCCTATTCAATATTCTAATTAATGCCTTACTCAATGCTATGCCTAGCCAGCCCCATCATTATATGATTTTTTTACTGATGATATAATGATTCACACCACCGGATTCTCCAACACCCAAAATATCCTTAACCATGTACTAGCCTCGTGTCAGGACCTGGGGTTGATAATCTCAGGGGCCCGGTGCTCAGGGGCCCGGTGGCCTGGTGGCTAAAGCTCCCGCTTCACACACGGAGGGCCCGGGTTCGATTCCCGGCGGGTGGAAACATTTCGACACGTTTCCTTGCACCTGTTGTCCTGTTCACATAGCAGCAAATAGGTACCTGGGTGTTAGTCGACTGGTGTGGGTCGCATCCTGGGGGACAAGATTAAGGACCCCAATGGAAATAAGTTAGACAGTCCTCGATGACGCACTGACTTTCTTGGGTTATCCTGGGTGGCTAACCCTCCGGGGTTAAAAATCCGAACGAAATCTTATCTTATCTTATCTCTACTGATAAAACAAAGATATTC